TATATATCATGTGTTTCAATTGGTTATATTGGTACTTTGCATATACAAACCTATTTTGGTATTCGTGGGAAACAACACTATTTCTCGCATGAACACGCACATTTGTATGTATCTAAACATTGCGGTTACTCCGTCAATTCTCATATTTTCAGAAGCTGGAAGATATAAATTAGAATCCGGGTGTCCTGATGTATCAGTATTCATACACGTGCATACTGTAGGTATCCTTTCTCATACATATGACGTATTTCAAGCAAATGCATTATCAATAGACTATTAAAACTATATACGCGTAGTTTAATATTTTATCGCAATCTTTCTCGTCTGCAAATTTTCTTTTGCGGCAGGTATTGATTGCCGGGTTCTCCACCTGGTTCTTTTCATTTCCTCATTGTTTCATTTTTGCTGTGTTCATCTTCGATTTAGATCCAATACTACGATACAAAAGTGAAGAAACGGCCCGTCCTCCACCAGACTGTCAGTGAGCATCCTATTATGTCGGTGGCTGTCACCAGCGATGCAAAGTATGTTGGAAAACTCGCCTTCGAAAATCCTGATTCGCACGCTTCTGTACACTTCCTCTGTGTATACAAGTAGACATGCAGGCAACTATTGGGATTGTCTTATTCGAACACAAACAAATACTTGTATGTATTAAGCTATATTTGTATATACTCCAGCTTACACATGTGCGCAGAGTTAGTGGGCGTCATGTACAAATATGTGACCATTGGAGTGCCTTTTAAACGAATTTGAACACATGCTGATTGTGCATATGAAAGACGACAAGATAGAAGAGTATGTTCTTCTTGTTAGCTGCAATGCAGAATTCCGGATTACTACTAACAAGTGTGCTAAAGATGAGCGAGTGGGAGGAAGTCGTTCAGTTTTTTTGTCGCCAACCATGAGATAACTTATTTTGTATATGGCCTTGATTGTTGCATCGCAAGTCTTAATTAATATTTAATCGCAAACTGCAATGTTTTATCGCATACCAGGAGTGTTGTCTTCGGTACGGCAGCAGGGGAGACCAAACGGCTTTCGCTCGAGAGTGGAGAAGTACTCAACGCTTACAAAGGTGCGTATCTTCACGGCTCCTTTATATCGGAACTATACTACTTGCAACATCAGTCGGAGTATTTAATATCAGTTTTATTTCGTATTTCGTAGCAGTTGCCTTGTCATGCTACGAGCAAGTAGACGGGGTTGGGGCGAGGCCTAAACGCAGATACATAACATCACAATCAATGTACCTATCCTCCGTATAAGTAGACCTCGCTACCGACACATGCGAGTATATTTCATGAATATTCATCGTCTGTATCCGACCTTGAACACTGAACATGGACTTCACTCCCTCACCTACATAGGCGCGTCTGGGTCAGTGCGTTGCGTTCAGGTGCATCCAGCGCTGCCCTATGTGGCTTCGTGCGGGCTGGACAGATACGCTAAAGTACATCACATAGAGACGGGGAGATTGGTCGCTAAGGTGTGCGAACTGTCTAAATGACCACATCAGAGATACTAGGAGCGAGGGGATACTCACCACAGATGATATATGTGTGCACCTGCGTATGATTCAAGCGTTTGTGTATCTTTCATACCTTGTAGGTGTCGCATGCGTGAACAAAACTGTATATATGCGGATTTTGGCTTATACTGGTGATCTGTATAGCAAGGTAATCAGAGAATCACCCTCCACGGTGTCTAGTAGAAACCAACCCTCTTTCGTCGTATGGGTCACACCCACATGACTGCGTGCTGTATGTCAAATGTAGGATAAAGGGGCAGGGGACCGTCGATAAATATAGTAGATTATCAATGCATCCCAAGGATTGTTTCGCAAGCAGATATACGCGCTCACAACTCGCTGGATTATACCAACCAGAAGTTCCTCCCAGGCATGAGAGGTGGCATGCGTTTGATTTCGAATGAAGAGCGTATAACACTCTTGATATATACCGTGCACTACAAATTAATAGTATTTGGCCAACTGGCCGTCCATCAATTGCCATCACCTCCTGTACAGCTCTGGTCTTGTTATAGATTACTGGCTAGCAATTGCTTCTACACTTACGGCACGTTTGTATACCCGTAGTCCATGAGGGAGTTCATACGTAGTTGCATTTGTTTCTTCAGATATATCCCAGTAATCGGGACTGTAGTTCATAGTGAACAGCTAGCTCATACCCACAACTATACTCCAGTACAAAATTAATTCGGGGGCTCACAATCATCAACTGTATATCCCACCCCAAATATTTTTTTTTAGGTCTACACGAAAACCAAACTAAACGCACTAATTGAATGTTTTAGGTCTACATGAAAAACTAAACGCACTATTTTAGGTCTACATGAAGATTAGTTCTACATGAAGACCAAACAAAACGCTCTAATTAAATGTTAAGGTCTAAATGAAAAACTAAATGCACTATTTGAGTTCTACATGAAGATTAGTTCTACATGAAAACCAAACTAAACGCACTAATTAAATATTTTAGGTCTACATGAAAACCAAGCTAAACGCACTAATTAAATATTTTAGGTCTACATGAAAACCAAACTAAACGCACTAATTAAATATTTTAGGTTTACATGAAAACCAAACTAAACGCACTAATTAAATATTTTAGGTCTACATGAAGACCAAACTAAACGCACTCCTGTTCTACGGCGAAGAGAAGCGGGAAGAAAAGGGAAATTCGGAGAAGGGTATGTGCTGGTCTGTTTGGGGTTAGCAAGTGTGTACGCCTACAATTACTTGTACACTCATTGTTCGTGTATATTCGGCGGGGTTCGTTCTTGATAGTTTGTGTGTGTTCTGTCTCGTTGCAGGTAACAAGTGTATAGGTCTACAACTACATGTGCAGTCTTTGTTATGTGTGAATTCCACGTGAGGAACAGAAATATAATTTCAACTTCTGTCTTTTATATCAGATCCCATCAGTAACTTATCAAAACAACGGTATGATGCCAATCATACTTTTGCACTTCTAATAAGCGCTCTAAATCTCAATTCCACCCATATTTGTGCACACAGCAAACAAGCGGGTGCGTAGCACTGGGGATGGAGACAATGAAGGTAGCTCTGCCGATGAGGAGACCGACGTCTGGGATGAACTCGAGGAAGTGGTGGAGAAAGACGACGATGATCTCGGCAAGACAGCCAGTCCCAAGCCCAAGAAAAAGGCCAAAAAAAATTAAGTTTCCCCCCCTGAACAGTAAAAAAATCCTGCACAATATGTGATATGTCTGTGGCAAAGCCACTAGAGATACTTCATGGCGACTTGGTTATGCATCACACATATGTGGCAGAATGTCAATATATTTACTCGGCAAGGAGTGGTTATAAAGCTTCCAAATGGAAACCTCTTATATGCTTATATATATATGTATATATATATATTTATATATATCTAAATATATA